AAAAACGGGAAGAAATAAATAAAAATAAAGAATAAATAATAACTAGAAATTTAATTCGTCATGGGGACGAATTAGGTGGTCTGTCTTCAAGTCTTATGAGAGATTATAATATTTACTATATTGAGAAAGGGAGAAGTTATATAGACATGTAAACAATGATGATCATCATGATGATCATGATGATGATGATCTTGATAGTAATGGTGATGACGATGATGATGATGATGTTGATGATTATCATCAACAGACCACGATGACATCAGACTGAACAAAATTAGAGAAGATTTAGATAGCGTATAGTCTCAGCTACAACATACTCAAAAATCGACAAAAACCAAGCCGAAATAACGGCGATATTGCTCGCAAAAGACAAGAATGTAGAATCCAGATTTGAGAAAAAGTCATCTCCCAAAAGGATTACACGTCAAAAGTAATGGATCTAGTGATAATAGGGTAATAATAAAGTAAATATGGTTGTTTATTACATTATTTGCGATTCTACGTGTTTTAATATTCAAAGGAGATGGTACAGTGAAAGGTCAAAAAGAAAAAAAAGTGAAGAAAAAAAATTGTTGGAGACGCCCGGACTCGAACCAGGGACCTCGAGGTCGGAAGTCAAGTGCGTTACCGATATACCAAAACATTTCCCATAGAGATTACACGTAAACGGAAAATGGAATTATCAAATCCCACTTTGTAAGTGAAATATGAGCATGATCCCGGCATCTGATCGAAAAATAAAGGGCACACTTATGATAGCTTATTTTCTCAGCTACAACATACTCAAAGCTCAGCGTAAACAAAGATAAAACGACGGAGATATTGCTCGCGAAAGACGAGAATGTAGAAACCAGATTGAGAAAAAGTCATGTCCCATAGAGAATACACGCAAAATGTGAAAAATTGACATGCCTCCTTTAATCGCAAAAAACGTCATGATACCTTTGTCAAAATGAAATTTTGTGGTGACTGTATTTGTAGAGAATATTCTCAGGTAGAACATATCCAAATTTGAAAGAAAATTGATCAATATTTACAGAGATACAATCAATTTTCCAAAAATATGCTGACGTCATAATATGCAAATTAAAATTATGAGTTCGGAGGCCATTATGATGACGTCATGAGTTAATTGAGGGTCAAATGAGACATGAAATCATATCTCCAACTCATGCTTTTTCTAACCATGATATAAAAGTTGGGGTGAATGGACTATCTGAAGAGCTATTTTGATTTTTAAAATGGCATGTTTTTGATCAAATTTGCATTATATTGCCCATAGCAGCACGCGCGGATTTTGATCTTTGACGCGCGCTCACGGCCTTATGAAAGGTCAAGGGTGACTAAAATTAATGTAAATTGTCATTAACGGTAAGAGGAATCTAAATCATGTAAAAAATTTGAATTTGACCTTTTCCACGCGCTTTGAGCGCGCGCAACGCGCGCGGGGACACTTACGGACGGAAAATTTTGAAATGCTTAAAATGACCTGATTCGTACTCTCCTTTAATAGTTAGGTGATTTTGACCATTCTAAAATTTTGACGCACGCGTACGCGCGCGTCATGACCTTTATGTGACCTTTGATGACATGACCTGTTGACCCTTGACCTTAAGTATATGTGATATGAATATGAATGACCTTTGCTTATGCATCATAAAGATATGATGGATAACGTGATTTCACGAAATGGCGCCTGGATGACGTCACGATAACCTGATGACCTTGAAAATGTTCCTGTCACGTCTCATGACAATGACCTATTACTGTCTTAAAATTGAAAGAAATTAACACAACCGATCTTGAGTTAACCGATAAACAAAAAACGGGAAGAAATAAATAAAAATAAAGAATAAATAATAATAATAACTAGACATATAATACTTGTTTGGAACAAGTATAGGTGGGCTGGTCAACTAACATTTGAGACAAAATAGAGCAAAAATAAGCGACATACTGCTTACAAATTCTTAAAAGACAATATCATGTAGATTCATAACGTGAACTAAATTCACCTTCTATAGGCATAACACGCAAATTATGAAGTTTTTGACATGAGGCCTTTAATCAAAATTTTCACTATGATGACGTCATCAAAATGAAAAATGGTTATTACTGCGCTTGTAGAGAATTGTCTTAGCTACAACATATCGAAATTTTGAAGAAAATTGATCAATATTTACAGAGATACAATCAAATTTACATAAATATGCTGACGTCATAATATGCAAATTCGTATTTTGAGTTCCAAGGCTATTGTGATGATGTCACGATACACTTAATGGCCAAATGAGACATGGAATCATATTTCCGACTCATACTCTATCTTAATATGAAAAAAAATTGAGGATCCCGGTGCATTCCAAAGAGCTATAATGGCTTTTGTATAGGCATGTTTTTGCCCATATATGCTATGTATTAAAAGACCTCGCGCGCACTGACATTTATCTTGAATTTACGCTCATCTTGTTCATAATGGTCATAAAGAGATAAACATGGAATCAAATTCCTTGAAAAAATATGAGAAATATCATGAAAGAAAAAAAAATGGCGATTCTATGTTTTTTAATGGTGTTACGCGCGAAAACGCGCGCGCATGCTCGTACGCGCGATTTTTTATAAAATGCTTAAAATGACCTGAAACGTATGCAAAATAAATTTGAGACGATTTTGAGCATTTAATTTTTTTGCGCGCGCATTGACGCGCGGACGTACGCGCACGCGCGCGTTTTTTGACCTGAAATTGACCGGACGGATATTGACCTTGATCATGATAAATATGAATGAGAAATTACTTTTGGTTATGAAGTTATGATCATGAGTTGATTTTCAGAAAATTTCACAAAATGGCGCCTAGATGACGTCATCAGTCAAGGTCAAGGTTGAAAACCTTACTGTGTTTTGTCCATATGCCTATACATATGTGTGCCAAATATCAAAGCATTTGATTGAACCATTTTCAAGATATCTTGTTAACAAAAAAGTGGTTAGAAATAAAATAAATAAATAATAATAAAGGCAATTTTAACAAAATTATAAGGTGGTCTGTATAGATACAGCCCACCTGATAAAGAAAATTCTGACGAAATCAATAGGTGGTCTGTTGACAACAGACCACCTAATAATAATAAAGAAAATTCTGACGAAATCAATAGGTGGTCTGTTGACAACAGACCACCTAATAATAATAAAGAAAGAAAATTCTGACGAAAACAATAGGTGGTCTGTTGACAACAGACCACCTAATAAAGAAAATTCTGACGAAAACAATAGGTGGTCTGTTGACAACAGACCACCTAATAACCGTGGAACCAGATATTTTACGTTTCTGGATCTAAGGATGTGGATGGATGGTTATGAACACAAAGCGATACTTCAAGGACTATTAGGTGTACTGATGAATATATGTGATATTTACAGCTACTTAAAGATACTATGTCCCTTTTGCAGCTAACATCAAATTGTGTAGAACTTTGCAGTAATTATGAATATGTCATGTGTGTCCTACCTGTGCAATCTAATTATTAGCAGTGTCCCAGTATTCAACTTGTGCAAGGTAACCCGTTTACCTTCTATACTTCACTGTCATACACTATTGAGTGACTGACTGACACTGTTTTTTCTTTGGTAATAACATACATAAAATGAGCTGTAACAGGTACATGAACATTTGTCTACATCAATAACCCACTATATACTTGTAAATGGCCCAAATTAAACTGATTGAATCTTTGGGCAGCACAAAACGTACGACCATTCGGTTTTATAGAGTCTGACAATCAGACTACTACTTAGGTGATTGCAATCATTTAAGTCGTTCGACAGCTGATGGTCGTTATTTTACCACTTAAATTCATGTTCAAGCCCTTTTGTTTTGAGGGAAGTTCTAAATTTTTATTAAAAATGCCGTTGGAATTTAACCTTTTTCTTTTTGTTTGGCATGCGAATAGGACAAAGTACCTTTAAAGTATGCATAATAGAGCAAAATAGCTAACATGCAATTATGTACATAAATATCCTAACATTCACGAAACTGTGTTATTAATGACAAATGCAGAAAAGGAATAGGTAAAAAAGTCTGTCAAGGTTTTATGACCGGACTATGCACTTTTCTTTGTTATTTTCCCCTATTTTTTTCCCTATTTACAACCTGAATATTTGGATTGTTTGTTTTGCGGTTTCTCTCACGTCCTGTAAATAAGGATGTGTTTGGTTTCGATTACTTGTTCAATTAATGCGTTTAATTGTTTGACCATGATTTCCTCGTATTTTTTAAACCTAGTTTGTATGTATTAGATCGACTGTTGACCTTGATAATTAATATGACGAAATGAACGTTTTTAGGAGTAATTATCATGCTATTGTAAACATGACTGATGACAAAGAGCAAAGGAATGTTTTGTGTTTATTTAACAAATACTGGCAGTGTAGCCTGTCTGGGTGAATTGAGGGAGGTGTCATTACTTTCCGTGGGGCACTGGTATTTGTTCTTATAGTGGTTGTTGTTTTGGTTTTGTGTATTGAAGTTCATACCTATTAGACTGATGTATAGAAGGGAGATGTAGAGAAATCAACGTATACCATAATGATAATTTGATATGTTGCGCAGTTGCAGATGCAGGATTCGTTTCCGCACCCCCTTCATTATCTGGGACACATAGATCGCATGTACACAGCAGAAAAGCTATGATAAAAAAGTAGAGGTCTTGTGGTCTAGTGGAAAAGTCACCGGACTGTAGGTCACAATAAACGGGATTCAAATCTCACCCTTGCACTAGTGTCCTTTGGCAAGACGTTAATCTAAATCTGCCACTTTCCATCCAGGTGTAAATTAGTACGTGATGACATTTAGGGGGAACCTTCAGGGAGGGTAAAAAACCTTTGTGTTTGTTTAGGGGCGTTTTTTTTTCTTCAATCGCCTTGTGCGCCATATATTGAAATGTTTCAGCATTACAGTGACAAGTTTTCTATAGGACATCAATTGTATATCCTCTCCACAGGTTTGATATCAGCTAGCTGTGCCATGCCAGACTCCATACCTAACACCATAACAACCTTGTCGAACCAAACGCTGGATACAGGTTCTTATATCACATGGGAATGCAGTGATGGATACATGATGGATGGCCTGACAAACACTGTTGTATGGGTGTGCTTAGATGACGGGTCTTGGCTGGGTCATATACCCATATGCAAAGGTAATAGGTTTAAATTTGAACTAATTGTATTCAAAGGGTTATTTTGTACCTCAGGGTCAAATGAAAGTACTGTAATATAGTGTAAGAACTTGTTAAAATATTTTTTTACGGGAATTTTCCAGGCAGTCGGGAACCCAGGATTCTCTGTGAGTGTGTTATCCCAGTGCAAAAACATGGAACTGTTTTTTTTTTCTACAGGATTCCCACACGAACAAAAAACCCACGATTTGACAGTTACCTTTTAAAGGGATAGTTCAGTTCTGTTTTCAGACCGCAATTGCCTTCAAAGTGCATGGATATTGCTCTTATTCTTATCTTTGACATTTCTAGTGCCCATTCAGGACCTAAAATTGCTATGATACCCCAAAATGTGTGAAATTTAGCCAATACGAACATTCCGATTCAGCTCCACTTTCCCAAAAATACGAAGACCGTTAATTAATTTATTTATTAATAATAACAATACATGGGCTGACTGGTTGTTCGTAATATAACTAACACGAAAAAGCCAACAAAAAGCCAACATCGGCATTGGCTGGAATGCAACGTAAATTGCGCTATTTTGTTTTTTTAACAGCTGGTTTAAATTATCGAATATTTAGGGTGGTACACAAATATTATAAATCGTTATATTTATGGATAATTCAGCCGTCTCTGAACCGATTTTGATCAAACAAAATCAATTTTGTCATTTAAATTGTATGTTCTTTAAAATTTGACACTCAGTTTTGTATTATCTCACAACAAAATTATATTGTATAGCGCCCTTTGTAACAGAACTTAACTATTCTTTAAAGGGTTACATATACTATCGGAAGACGGATATTTGAAAATTAGGTTTCAATGATAAAACGAGAATATATCTAGCAATCCTTTGTGAAGACGCCAAATGATGAAGAAAAAAAACAACTAGAAAAGTACAGAAGTAGAGCCATGATTAACCTTCGTAAAGTTGGCATTATTAAATTTGTGAAGATATAATAATTATAATAATAATAATAATAATAATAATAATAATAATAATAATAATAATAATAATAATAACTAGACATAATACTTGTTTTGAACAAGTATAGGTGGGCTGGTCAACTTAAATTTGAGACAAAATAGAGCAAAACTAAGCGAGATACTGCTTAAATATTATTAAAAAAACAATATCATGTATATTCAAGATGTAAACGAAATTCACCTTCTAAATGCATAACACGCAAATTATAAAGTTTTGACATGAGGCCTTTAATCGAAATTTTTACTACAATGACGTCATCAAAATGAAAAATGGTGTCGACTGAGCTTGTAGAGAATTGTCTCAGCTACATCATATCGAAATTTGGAAAAAAATCGATCAATATTTACAGAGATACAATCAATGTTACATAAATTTGCTGACGTCATTATATGCAAATTCGTATTTTGAGTTCCAAGGTCATTATGATGATGTCACGATACACTTAATGGCCAAATGAGACATGGAATCATATTTCCGACTCACACTCTATCTAAATATGAAAAAACATTGAAGGTCACGGTTCATTCCAAAGAGCTATAATGGATTTTGTATAGGCATGTTTTTGCCCATATATGCTATGTAATAAAGGGGCTCGCGCGCACGGACATTTATCTTGAATTGACGCTCATCTTGTTATTAATGGTCATAAAAAGATAAACATGGTATCAAATTCCTCGAAAAAATATGAGAAATATCATGAAAGAAAAACAAATGGCGATCCTATGTTGTGTAATGGAGTTACGCGCGAAATTGCGCGCGCATCCCCGCGCGCGCGATTTTTTATAAAACGCTTAAAATGACCTAAAACGTATGCAAACAAAATTTGAGACGATTCTGAGCATTTTCAAATTTTGCGCGTGCACTGACGCGCGGACGTACGCGCACGTGCGTGTTTTTTTACCTGAAATTAACCGGACTGATATTGACCTTGATCATGATAAATATGAATGAGAAATATCTTTTGGTTATGAAGATATGATCATGAGATGATTTTCAGAAAATTTCACAAAATGGCGCCTAGATGACGTCATCAGTCAAGGTCAAGGTTGAAAACCTTACCGTGTCTTGTCCATAAGCCTTTACATATGTGTGCCAAATATCAAAGCATTTGATCGAACCATTTCAAAGTTATCTTGCTAACAAAAAGTGGGTCAAAATAAGAAAAATAAACTAGATTTGTAATACTTGTTTGGAACAAGTATAGGTGGGCTGGTCGAACTAAAATTTGAGACAAAATAAAGGGTACATTTGAGATAGCTTATTGTCTCAGCTACAACATACTTGAAGTTCAGCGTAAACAAAGCTAAACGACAGAGATATTGCTCGCGAAAGAATCCAGTTTTGAGAAAAACTCATGTCCCATAGAGAATACACGCAAAATGTGAAAAATTGACATGCCTTTTTTAATCGCAAAAATTCGCCCTGATGCCTTTGTCAAAATGAAAATTTGGGCCAATTTTATTTGTAGAAATTGTCTCAGCTAAAACATATCAACATTTTGAAGACAATCGATCAATATTTACAGAGAAACAATCAATTTTCCGTAAATATGTTGACGTCATAATATGCAAATTGAAATTTTGAGTTTGGAGGCCATTATGATGACGTAATGAGTTCATTGAGGGTCAAATGAGACATGAAATCATATCTCCAATTCATACTGTATCAAAATATGACCCAAAAATTGGGGTCACCTTGCATCCTAAAGGGCTACAATGGATCTTGTATAGGCATGTTTTTGCCCATATATGCTATGTATTACAAAAGCTCGCGCGCACGGAAATTTATGTTAAACGGTCGATCATTCCATTATTAATAGTCATAAAGAGACAAGCATGGTATCAATTTGTTTGTAAAAATATGTGGAATATTATGAAAGAAAAAAAATGGCGATTCTATGTTGTGTAATAGTTTTACGCGCGAAAACGCGCGCGCCGCCCGCACGCGCGTGTGTGTGGGCGATTTTTTATAAAATGCTTAGAATGGCCTAAAACGTATGCAAAATGATTTTGAGACGATTTTGAGCATTTTAAATTTTTGCGCGCGCATTGACGCGCGGACGTACGCGCACGTGCGCGTTTTTTTACCTGAAATTGACCGGACCAATATTGACCTTGATCGTGCAAACTATGAATTAGAAATTACTTTCCGTTATGAAGATATGATCATAAGTTAAAATTCACAAAATGGCGCCTAGATGACGTAATCAGTCAAGGTCAAGGTTGAAAACGTTATTTTGATTTATTTATATGCCTATACATATGTGTGTCAAATTTCAAGGCATTTGATTGAGCCATTCTTAAGTTATCTTGCTAACAAAAAAGTGGTTAGAAATAAGAAAAATATTTAATAACTAGACATATAATACTTGTTTGGAACAAGTATAGGTGGGCTGGTCAACTAACATTTGAGACAAAATAGAGCAAAAATAAGCGACATACTGCTTACAAATTCTTAAAAGACAATATCATGTAGATTCATAACGTGAAATAAATTCACCTTCTATAGGCATAACACGCAAATTATGAAGTTTTTGACATGAGGCCTTTAATCAAAATTTTTACTATGATGACGTCATCAAAATGAAAAATGGTTATTACTGCGCTTGTAGAGAATTGTCTTAGCTACAACATATCGAAATTTTGAAGAAAATTGATCAATATTTACAGAGATACAATCAATTTTACATAAATATGCTGACGTCATAATATGCAAATTCGTATTTTGAGTTCCAAGGCCATTGTGATGATGTCACGATACACTTAATGGCCAAATGAGACATGGAATCATATTTCCGACTCATACTCTATCTTAATATGAAAAAAAATTGAGGATCCCGGTGCATTCCAAAGAGCTATAACGGATTTTGTATAGGCATGTTTTTGCCCATATATGCTATGTATTAAAAGACCTCGCGCGCACTGACATTTATCTTGAATTTACGCTCATCTTGTTAATAATGGTCATAAAGAGATAAACATGGAATCAAATTCCTTGAAAAAATATGAGAAATATCATGAAAGAAAAAAAAATGGCGATTCTATGTTTTGTAATGGTGTTACGCGCGAAAACGCGCGCGCATGCTCGTACGCGCGATTTTTTGTAAAATGCTTAAAATGACCTGAAACGTATGCAAAATAAATTTGAGACGATTTTGAGCAATTAAAATTTTTGCGCGCGTATTGACGCGCGGACGTACGCGCACGCGCGCGTTTTTTGATCTGAAATTGACCGGACTGATATTGACCTTGATCATGATAAATATGAATGAGAAATACCCTTTGGTTATGAAGATATGATCATGAGTTTTTTTTCAGAAAATTTCACAAAATGGCGCCTAGATGACGTCATCAGTCAAGGTCAAGGTTGAAAACCTTACTGTGTTTTTTCCATATGCCTATACATATGTGTGCCAAGTTTCAAAGCATTTGATTGAATAATTTCAAAGATATCTTGCTAACAAAAAGTGGGTCGAAATAAGAAAAATAAATAATAAAGGCGATTTTAACAAAAATATAAGGTGGTCTGTATTAGATACAGCCCACCTGATAATAATAAATAAACTAGACATATAATACTTGTTTGGAACAAGTATAGGTGGGCTGGTCAACTAACATTTGAGACAAAATAGAGCAAAAATAAGCGACATACTGCTTACAAATTCTTAAAAGACAATATCATGTAGATTCATAACGTGAACTAAATTCACCTTCTATAGGCATAACACGCAAATTATGAAGTTTTTGACATGAGGCCTTTAATCAAAATTTTCACTATGATGACGTCATCAAAATGAAAAATGGTTATTACTGCGCTTGTAGAGAATTGTCTTAGCAACAACATATCGAATTTTTGAAGAAAATTGATCAATATTTACAGAGATACAATCAATTTTACATAAATATGCTGACGTCATAATATGCAAATTCGTATTTTGAGTTCCAAGGCCATTGTGATGATGTCACGATACACTTAATGGCCAAATGAGACATGGAATCATATTTCCGACTCATACTCTATCTTAATATGAAAACAAATTGAGGATCCCGGTGCATTCCAAAGAGCTATAATGGATTTTGTATAGGCATGTTTTTGCCCATATATGCTATGTATTAAAAGACCTCGCGCGCACTGACATTTATCTTGAATTTACGCTCATCTTGTTAATAATGGTCATAAAGAGATAAACATGGAATCAAATTCCTTGAAAAAATATGAGAAATATCATGAAAAAAAAAAAATGGCGATTCTCTGTTTTTTAATGGTGTTACGCGCGAAAACGCGCGCGCATGCTCGTACGCGCGATTTTTTATAAAATGCTTAAAATGACCTGAAACGTATGCAAAATAAATTTGAGACGATTTTGAGCATTTAAAAATTTTGCGCGCGCATTGACGCGCGGACGTACGCGCACGCGCGCGTTTTTTGACCTGAAATTGACCGGACAGATATTGACCTTGATCATGACAAATATGAATGAGAAATGCCTTTTGGTTATGAAAATATGATCATGATTTGATTTTCACAAAATTTCACAAAATTGCGCCTAGGTGACGTCATCAGTCAAGGTCAAGGTTGAAAACTTTACTGTGTTTTGTCCATATGCCTATACATATGTGTGCTAAATTTCAAGGCATTTGATTGAGCCATTTTTAAGTTATCTTGTTAACAAAAAAGTGGTTAGAAATAAAATAAATAAATAATAATAAAGGCAATTTTAACAAAATTATAAGGTGGTCTGTATAGATACAGCCCACCTGATAAAGGCAATTCTAACGAAATTATAAGGTGGTCTGTACGTTATACAGCCCACCTGATAAATAATAAATAAATAAATAATAAAGGCAATTTTAACAAAAATATAAGGTGGTCTGTATTAAATACAGCCCACCTGATAATAGCTATATAATAGCTTATAAAGCGCTTGTCAGGACCGAAGGCCCTCTCAAAACGCTTTACAAATATATATTACTACCGGTCATCGGATGCAGGCTTATCCGCAGACAGTGTATGCACATTCTCCACTCCCTGGTGACCATTCCAGCCAGGCGTCATTTTTACAAGCGCACACTTGCTAATCTAAGCACATCAGCTTTCGCATCTTACCGGGTACCCATTCAACACCTGGGTGGAGAGTGGCAAATGTAGATCAATGTCTTGCCAAAGGACATTTGTGCCGCGGTGGGACTTAAACTGCGACCCTTGTGATCCACAGTCCGGTGACATATCCAATCGTCCACGACACCTTGGTTCATGATTACATCTATCAAAAATCTCATTTAGTTCGATAGATTATTATTGTTCCCCTTTTCCCTTAACCAAACAGAAGTCTAGGAAGAACGGAGCTATTATTAGTAAATAGAGCAATTTAGCTTTGAACTTTTAAAATAATTTACTTGATTTAATGTTCACATATTAAATGTAGGTTGTTGGACGCATATATTTGTTTGGTAATACGATTAAAAAAACAAAACCAATTAAATAAATAAGATAATTATGCAATCTTTCTCCCGACCATGTAGATGTTGAATGCCCATCGCCTCCCATAGCTGCTTATTCAGAGCTCGATCCTCCTTTGCCTGAAACTCCCGTGGTAAACCAGACGATATCATATAGATGCAGCAGCAGTGAATACACTCTGCTTGGAAGTTACTTGAATAGATGTCTACAAGATGGCATATGGGAGAATGATCCACCAGTTTGTCAAAGTAAGTAATTCATCTTTGCGAACGAAAGTTCGTATATTTACACATCCAGAAGATTATTCTTTAAAAACATGGCTCGAGGACAATAAGCCCTTGTCAATCACCATCAGCCAATAACCAGCGGGACAATTACCCACCAAGAACCAGCAACCCCCGGAAAAATACCTCCCGGAAAATTGCCCCTTTGGACAATTCCCCCTCCCCCCCCCCAGGAAAATTACCCCCCCCCCCCCCTGGAAATTACCCCCTTGGGCAATCACCTCTCACCAACTGTTTTATTTAAACCAGCTTATCATCAGGGTAGACTCCCCCTTTAATGAAGGGGTGGGGGATATGTATATTTTATTAATCTCGATGACATTTAGTATTGCAAAAAGCATTATTTATTGGCATTCCATGCTCACCGTCTGCCATGAGTTGGATTTGGGATTGGGTCAAATTGTCCAGGTCATCTCGTGGGGAGGGGATGATAATCATAAAACATAAAATATATATATATATATATATATATGTGTGTGTGTGTGTGTGTGTGTGTGTATATATATTGTCTTAATATCATGTTGTATTTTTGCTCTCTTTCCTTTTCATTTAAAGAGACAAAAGACAAAAGACAGAAGGAAAGAATAATTGTAAAAAGTATTACAAGTAACATAATTTATTTGCATCCCTGTATAATATTCCAGAAGATACAAGCAGTAGTAGTTTAATGTTTGTCATTCCTGGTTATTGCCACCTATAATCTTAACTCAATTATATATGTTAAACTATAATATTGACATTTGTTAACCAATGTTATAAACAAAAATTGAAAATGATCCTAATTGTTTGGATTTAAATCAATAACATTTGAATTGAATTGAATCAAATTAAATTGGTTATTCCCTTCTTTTTTTGATGTGTGTGTGTGGGGGGGGGGGGGTCATATTAATCTAGGTGGTAGTTTTGGGGGTAGATTCTCCGGGGTGATTTTCCGGGGGGTTACGCTCCTTGGGGGGTAGTTTTCTGGGGGAATTTTCTGGGGGGGGGGGTTCATTGTCCTGATACGTAAAAATATGAATTATAAAAGACTATTTGTGTTATTTGATTGATGTTTTTCGTCAATCGGTGGTGCAGTCACTTCATTTTAAAATGTATTTTATATTAAGGTTCAATTTCTTTTTCGCAGGGACCTGCAGCACATTCAACACCAAACGATATTCCAATCTCACTTGCTACCGGAGACGAGGCTCTGAAGAATGGGATGGCTCATTCGATCTTTGCATAGATCAGGGGGAGATACTTGCTACAGTGAAAGATACTCAGACGCAGGAATTTCTAGTCGAGTTTCTTAGGACATTCAATGATGAAGCTAACATCTGGATAGGAGCAAGGGAAGGTCGAGACTGGAAGTGGAGAAAAAGTAAGCAACAAAAAATGTACATATAATGTGTGCTGGCATGCGTAAATCATATGACCGGGGTAATATAGGATTTTCCGGCCATTTGAACACTTTTTTTCAATCAAAATAAAATTTTGTGCGCTTCAATTCCATCCAAGGAATCTGGGATCGTGCAAATGTCAAAGTTAAGTTAGTTATTTGTAATTCATATAAGTCAATGGTAACTAAATTTTAACACTTGTCCATCAATTTTGTCAGATTTCATGATCCGTATTCATTTCATCTGGCAGTCTCCTGCAGAAAGTATAAATAAAATTCGTCTTTGCACAATCGAGTTCGAGAGAAAATCATTCATTCTTCACATAGACCTCATATAGAACGAGTAACGAATTGGAATGATGCTTGACGAAATTGATTCATGCAAATGTATCTTGATAGCCGAGGATGATGACCTTGACGAAATTGGATGGAAAAGAATTAGGTTGATTTGACATTTTTTTTAATGAATGACCAAAGACAAGATATATCATTTTCGTAATGTAATCAGATTCAATGCATAAATCTTTATTAAGTGTCTCATTACAAATTATTTCATTCCCCTGTTATGAATAATTGTATTTCGACAGTCGGGTTCGGAGGCAAGGCACACAAGATTTTTTTTTCTCAATGGGCTTTACAGATATACAGTGCGTCCCAGAAAAAAACGAAACCGAGAAGTATCGATCTTTTATCATAACTTATTCACATTTATAATTAATAAATGACATATATTTGAAAAGCTTAGATCCTCCTCTTTCATTTGATGCAACTCATATAATGCATATTTCACGCAGGAGTGATTAAAATGATTTTGAAGAGAGGAAACCAAAAAGTCATTTGGCGGACGGTATTAGAATTTCAAGGAGTAACAGAGTTGACAAAAGACTCGAATGGGATAACAGTCATTTCACCTCCATAATGAAACACTGAAATACTCGCCGAATCCGAGAAACCACCGAAATTCACCGCCACAACACCGTGCCCCAAGACTCAGGATTATACATCAACAACATCTGGAAACCCCTCATCAGCAAGTACCCGGTCACTCCTCCTCCACCACCACCTCCACCACCGCCTTCACCACCCCAGCAGACACCCGTACATCAACCACCGCCATCCGCCGAACCCTCAAAACAGCCGCCATTCTCACAGCTACAATGCACAGCAGACGACAGCAGACTACAACGCCGCCTACGTCGGGGACACACACAGCGTCTCGCCGACAGCACACCCCACTCATGGATTCGAAACTCTCCGACGTCCGCAACCCGGAGACTCCAGCCCAGACGGACAGCAAGACGAATCAGCAGACCCTCTATGTCCACTCCCCGTTGACTCAAGCCCGCACGGTCATGTATTTTTCCCGTACGTCCGCACCCCGGTGACTTAATCTGACGCACGCCAGCTATTCTCCACTCCTGACGACGGAAAGTCAACCTGTTCGAAACGTCGAGCCACTCCCGTCCTTCATTCTCTCCAAGCGCTATAGTTCTCCTTAGAACTGTAAGCTAAGAAAGATAAGCAAAAATCTTTTTCAAGACTATACCAACAGTCCTTTTCAGGACTACAAACCCTCAAGAAAGATTACCGAGAGTCCTTTTCAGGACTCCTCAATCCTCCCTCTCTCTCACATGGTGCACCCGCAAGCCTACTGTAAATTTAGTTTTGGAGGTTATTTTTAAAGTGTGTACTTTTATGTATACTCACCGAAGTCTTTAAGGGCTTTGACATTATCGCATTAAACATGTTAACTTCTTGTTAAGTTCTTAACACGGAAGATAAGACGGTGTAAATTGCTAGATCCACACACTTATAGGACTTTTGAATACCCCTTTTTTGTTTTGTTTTTTGTTTTATAGATGACAAATACATTGAACGTTTCTTTTGGCAAAACCTATTTCCGGATTCAAATCTCAGAGATTGCATTGAATTGTCATACCAGTCTGGCTCGGCGAAGTATTCTTGGAATCCTAGATCGCTCCTAGAAGAAAATGCCTTACTCTGTCAGTATGGTAAGTATCTCTAAGTTGTTCATGGTCATGAGTTCATTATAAATTAGCTTTGAAAACTTATAAAATACCAGCAAGTGGGGGACTGACTATTTCATTATCATCTTTTTCATTTGTTTATATATATTAATCTTTTCTGTTGCTAGAAAAGTTAGATTTCGCAAGACATGACCTATTGATATGTCATTACTACAGAAGCTGGACTAAGTACACGACTTTTACAGAGTGAGACGAGCTTCCACTTTTCACCGGTACCTTCTCGTCACCAAATAATAGCAACCGGGGAGTAGTTCTTTTATCTAGCGGTTAAATGACAGTAATGTACATGCATATATAAACTAATATTTTTATACAGTGCCTATCAAAAAAAAAGGTGTACCAAACGTTGATAGCTCTTTATTAAAAATTCATTACCTATATGACTTTGACATCTGTTTCATGATGAAAATCAAGTTGTTTCCTGCCAAGTGATACCCAATTCATGATACTTCGGTGCCACGGGTCTTTGATATGTGTAGTCAAAATCGCCTTGTACCAAGTTTTGGCTGATGGAACGAATGTGGGTCAGGCCATATGCATGTGCTTCTTTGGTTTTAAATTCTTTGAAAAGTGAAATTATGACTCATGCTTCATCTATGCATTGTTTGAAATGATGCAATGTATCTAACCTTCCACAGAAAATTGTTTCAATGCATAGGATAATCTTCTTTTGTTTAAATAGCCTAATAACCTCTTGTCTCATGATATCTATGTTCACTTGTTCTTTGCGCCATGTCACGTGTTAGGAGCATAAGGTGTTTATCTCGAATAGCAAATGTTGAGGCCATTCGGATGTTCAGCCCAGCCACTAGCTGATTTATTCTTCCCCAAGCTTCCGTTGGTCATCCGTACTGCTATAGAATGTACCAATTCAACAAATCTTAAAGTCCTCAATAGTGAATTCGGGTACGGAGGAATACGAATTATTGTGTTTTTGTGTATTCTCTCGAACTTCAAGTATAAGTCACTAATTTCTCCTTTTTGTCCCACACATCGCTTTGTATTTCTAGATCAGTCTTGCCAGAGTGTTGGACTTAGCCAATCCGACATGGTATTAGAATACATGGGCACCTGTTTCCAATTCCTGGATGTTTCGAGGAACTGTGATGACGGGGCCGAAGAGTGTAATGGTAGAGGAGGATTTCTGGCTGAAATACTCGATGAGAGCACTAATGCTTTATTGGTAGACCGAGCCCTGTATCTGCGAGACCTAGGCGTAAACACGGCATGGTGGATTGGTGGTTATGACGAAAACTCCGGACGGTCCTGGTATTGGTCTGATAGTACGTGATTCCTCAAAAAGTATAGAAACAGTAAAATGTAGCCTTTATCTGTTTATTGGAAGAAAAACACATTTATTTTTTCAACAAAATCTATACCATTTGCAACTATTTGTATTCAATGTCAATACAATAAAACATCCTTAATTTGTTCCTATTTTAACACAAGTTTTAGAATGAGATTAGAGCTATGATACGTTATGAAATCCGCCTCGACTTTATCGGTAATTCGTTAATATCAGTTATATATATATAAGTAATTTGTTGCAGTCCAAAAAATAATACAAATAAATTGTTGAGTAAAAAGCAAATAGTTTTGTCAAATGAGATCCTCGACCACTTGTATTATATGAATGTGGTAATTAGCTGCAAAGTAATAACATGGAACTTAATTTAAACATGGTCCATAAGTATGTTCTATAATAACCTTGATTAGGACTAGAGGGTAATGGAGTCTTTTGTGATATATACAATGACATATACAATATTAGGGGTCAACAAGTTTAGATCTTTTCCCTGCATTTGCTAATTTTTGATTTAATGAATTAAGAAATAAAATCTTGGAAGCAATGAAAAGATAAAAATAAATGAAAGATACATTTAACAATAATTTGTGTAATAATACATAATTTTAATCTACACATCAAGCTGAACCGAAGCAATGTAAATAATTACGATGAATTTACACACTCTATATCGGGCATATATTGTATGCTAAATATGCAAAACATTAAAATCAAACAAGAGTAATGGCTTGAATTGAGTTTTCCAAATACAGATTAGCATGGACCATTGAAATTGAAGCCAGTATTTTCGTATTAAGGCTTTCTAATGGAAGTGGAAATTAGATCAACTTCCTAACCCATAGTAGGACATCATATTCATCATACCATTCATCTCTTTCTTCAGAAACCCGATTGAACTATGAGGAATGGAACGATCACCAACCTAATAATGTTAACCAAGACCAAGACTGTGTAGAAATGAGAAGCGAATTTCAGTACCGATGGAATGACCAATCTTGTTCAGACCAAATTCGGACTCTATGTCAAATTGGTGAGAACATGTGAAATATATTTTTTGAATATATTTTGGGGGTCATGGGCTTGTACAAAAATGACTATGTTAGATGGTTTCTTTGAACAGATGAGACGAATTATAGCCGAGGTGATTTGACAATATATGAGCAATCAAAATATTGTATATTGTTTAAAAATTATGATAAATCATGTATATTTGTTACGGTTTTCTTCACGTGATTAAGGAATGGATTGAATAAATGGATGAATTAATTATCAGAATGGATGTTTCAGTGATAAATATGAAGATTTTGACTTTTTTCCAGGAATTCCTGCCTGCGGTGACCCAGGTGAACCTTTGCATGGTAGTCGTTTACCAGACGATAGAACAACTTACTCTGTCAGTGCTACTCTTCATTTCACCTGTCAGGAGGGCTATACATTATCTGGAGAAAACGTTTTAAGATGTATGAATAATGGAGCATGGAATCATCAAAGACCATCGTGTGAAGGTAAAGTGACAATTATGTTAATAACAAATAAATTATAATTGACTCCTATTTAGCCCCGTCAGCATAATACTGCTGTTCTTCGGGCCCTCGAAGAAAATTTACCCCTGTAATTACAAAGGGCAAATTTACACCTGGTTGGATACTGGCAAATGTGGATTTATGTCTTGACAAAGAAGAGTTTTTGCCGGATTGAGATCCGAACCCTCATCGAATGAAATGAGAGTCAAGTGAATGAACTACCATACCATATTTTGTTTCTCAGAACGCATGTTTTAACGTGTACAGATGATATTCCGTATTTCATAAACATTCGTTATATGTAGTCATGCTTTGAGATAGGGGTTTACACGCTAGCGTAGTGACGGATATCAAGACAGCTATGAAACTTCAGTAATATGCGGCTGAAAGTATTTTAAATACTTAATTCATTACGCAAGGGGTTGTCAAAAGTGTCTACAAATTTACCATCAATAAAAATGTAATTGATGAAAATTTACATTAAGGTATTCTCATCTAAGAGGCTAGTAATAAATAAACAAAACGAATTTAAGTAGTGTTTTAAGACGTTTTTTTTTTATGTCAAAAGAAACGATAGCATCCCTTCATTGAAATATTTATAATGACATGATATTTATCCAGTCTTTTATGTTTTTCTTTTCTTTTTCTTTTCTCTTTTCCTGAATAGCTGTCGAATGTGAAGGAAGCCCACCACAGGTCGTCAATGCATCAACCCTGATACTAGGATCAGATTATCAAGATATAGCTGTATACACCTGTCAAGATGGTTATATTCCTGATCAGGAACCAATCAGCTTCTGTCAGCATACAGGCAACTGGAGTATCCCTAACTTTACATGTTCAGGTGAGTTGATATTTATTTATTTATTCATCTATCTATTACATTTTCTCTATACAGGGTAGAGTCTTCAGTCCATACAACTGCTTTGCAAAAGACCCATGCAAGTAGGGCAGGTAGATGGTTTGTTTTACCTGACAGGTAAAAATGGGTACACTTTGGAAAAAGGTAACCAGATGACCGGCGGCTCTAAGGCCTCTCCAAGACTCTGGGTAAATTTGTTAATGTTTCTGTTTTTTAATAAGTATGCATTATTAAATGATCCTAGTTTCTTAGATTTCTCACTTTTGATTACGTAATTCCGATGTCATTTTCTTTTTCATCATAGACAATCCAAAGGGAAATACATCACCTAATGGAGGTGAGTAACTTCGCGATTATCAGATAATTATCTTTTATTGTATGCTTATCATTTATATTTGTAAAAATGCAAAAGAAAAAGAAAATCAAATAGAAATAAATAAATCAAATCAAATCAAATCAAATATCTAATCGGCAAAAGTACATTTCAAATACGGTTATCTTAAAAAACGGTTGTATAATATAAATTTAAAGAAAAACTTAAATACATTCATTTAAACATGTAGCAATCCATTATGAGCCATTGAGTTCATCCTTTTTCCCGCCAGAGTAAAACAGAACAAACTTGTTTATGGTAATTCCTCCTGGCAAACGTAAAAATATAACATGAATGTAAATCATGTAATGAAGATGCATTCAGTAATTCGTTGTTTCAAACAGACCAATGTAAATGGTTATTACAAAATGTAATCCTTCATATAATGTTTAGTGATCATGTACATAGGGGCCACTCAACATAATGAAGACGATTAATAAAAGGTAGATTAACATTATATAGACGGGCTGCTTGGTTATAGGATTCAATAGGGAATAATGTTTTCAATGGAAACAAAATATGTAAGCGTTATACATAAAAATGTAGCTATAGATTAATA